CATTATTGGGACTTCATATTCAATTGAGTATTTTTTNTTATTATATTATCAGTTCAGTTTCAGCTTCAGTATATTGCCTTACATACTCGGTACATTATTTAATATTGACGTCCCTTTCTGGGGGGCGCTGCATTTCATGCGTGCAGGTTCAGACAGACAGACGGGTAAACCTCCTCAGTAGGTGTTGTACGAGTTCAGCTTTATCGGTAAGCTCCCCTTCTTTCGGAGTTTCCGAGTCTAGCAGTGTGGTGTATATCTTGTGTATATATGTAGATAGGTTATGGGTAGGTCAGGTCCCTGTTCCGATCACAGTACATCTATCAGTAGAGGCTTGGAGACATATCCTGTCGGTTAGTGCAGTATCTTGGGCTTGTAGGCCCTTTACGTATATTTTGTTGTCTTGTCAGTTGTAGTAATTATGACGGCCTTGCCGGCCTAGTTTTATGTTGACATTAGTCAGCGTTAGTCTTCATTTAGTTTTATACTTTGTATCGCACATTATCTTGTAATGTGGCCCCTAGCGAATGTATGACATTACATGTTTAGAGTCTCTTAGTTGCAAGTTGTACGCAAGGATAGATGAGGCACTAGGTGCCGGTCTCGCCACCAGGCTCGGGGCGTGACAAAGTGGTATCCGAGCAGTTCTATCCTAGGGATTCTACAAGCCGTGTCTAGTAGGGTCTTGTTTATAAATATGTGGTGCACCACATTATATAAGCAGGGGACTACAGGGCATTTAGGAATTAGTTACTCTTCTTTCAAATCTAAATCGTGTTGTAGTAGCACTGAGTTATAGGAAATTTGAGTTAAACTTACGTGTTGGCATTTGCATGCACAGATGACGGTAATTAGGAATACTACGACTAGCCGGAGGAGAGAAACAGTAGTAGGTGAAGGGAGTAGCAGGGTACCTCCAGCAGATGGGGCCATGTGTGGCATGTATAGTAAGTTTTTGGCTGCGTACAAGTTGGTTTCAGTCAGATGTACAGAAGAGACTCTGGCAAAAATGTTCCCAAAGTATCTAAGAATAGACATTCGAGGACAAATATTTCTAAGTGGGGAAGGATGTTACATCTCGCATTTTTGCCCGTATGTTAAAGTTTCATCTTTAGTAAATTGACGTAAACTCGGGGATGATATTATCTGGAGGTTAGCATATTTACGCTATTTATAACAAGTGATAAATAAATGTTATGAAGGATAAAGGGGTACATAGATTAAAGAAAATGAATTTCGTTGAAAAGTGGCCAATTTGGAATAAAATACGGGTCGAGCTATAATACCCGATAATTATGAACTAGTACCATGCAAGGTACCATATGACCACGGTAGTATAATATATAAAGTATATATGAAGTATTTTAAAAATAAATAGAATTTTAAGTAATTTGTGGTAATTTTTAAATTATGCGGGTAATTGATTAATTATCGGGTAACAGTTAAATAATAAGAGGATAAAGCTTAACTAATTATGCCCAAAATACATGTGGCACAAGGCCACTAATTAAGAAGATGACTCATTAAATAAAGGTATAGGTGTCTACCTAATATAACCAAGTCATGAATTGACATTAAAGTCTTAAGAATCTGATCCAATTAGACAAACTAGGCTTCAATTCATTTCTTTTAAGTTTGAAATCAAGAACTTGAAAACTGAAGAGATTTTTGTCCAAAATTCTTGCCAAGTTTTCAATGGAAATTTCAAAGTTCAACAATTAAGATTTAGTTCCATTTCTGTCTTTAATACACAAAACGTCAGAAGCAGATTTGTTCAGGAACAGGTATGTTAAGGCTAAGCTTTTTCTTTATTTTCGCATGATATCGTAGTTACACAAGTTTGATAACGAGGCATAGAGAAAAATTCGTATCCCGAAATTTACATATATTTTGCTAGTCTCGCAAATTACGTATATTTTCCTAGTTTTATAAGTTACAATATTCTCCTTATTGGGACTTCATATTCAATTGAGTATTTTATTCTTCCAATCAAAAGAGCAGAGAGTTTACATATATACAGTATTAAAAGTATTTTTATTACCATCGAGCTAGAATCGATGGGCAGGCCCATATTGGGCAACCTCTGATCAGATGGTAAGTTATATGCCAATCCTACTGCAGTCGAGCACCTATGAGCTGGCCCAGTTGGTCGAGATACAGAGCCTAGTATGGCCGAGCGCCTATGAGCGAGCCTACTTTGACTTCCAGCTACTTGCAGTACAGCTATTTTACTTACTATATTGAGAGAGTTGAGTCAATATCAGCAGGTAAACATATCTCAGATTATCTTTGACTTCCAGCTACTTGCAGTTTTTATATTATCAGTTCAGTTTCAGCTTCAGTATATTGCCTTACATACCCGGTACATTATTTCGTACTGACGTCCCTTTCTGGAGGGGTGCTGCATTTCATGTGTGCAGGTTCAAACAGATAGACGGGTAGACATTCTCAGTAGGTGATGTCCGAGTTCAGCTTTATCAGTAAGCTCCCCTTCTTTCGGAGTTGCCGAGTCTAGCAGTGTGGTGTATATCTTGTGTATATATGTAGATAGGTTATGGGTAGGTCGGGGCCCTGCTCCGATCACAGTACATCTATTAGTAGAGACTTGTAGATATATCCTGTTGGTTAGTGCAGTATGTTGGGCTTGTAGGCCCTGTACATATATTTTGTTGGCCTATCAGTTGTAGTTATTATGACGGTCTTACCGGCCCAACTTTATGTTGACATTAGTTAGTGTTAGTCTCTATTTAGTTTTATACTTTGTATCGCACATTATCTTGTAATGTGGCTCATAGCCAAAGTATGACATTACATGTTCAGAGTCTCTTAGTCGCAAGTGGTACGCAAGGATAGATGAGGCACTAGGTGCCGGTCTCGCCCCCGGGCTCTGTGCGTGACATATACCTCGTGGATGGACTCAACTATAATCTCCGGGCTCGGTGCGTGACATATACCTTGTGGATGGAATCAACTATAATCTCTTGAGTATAAGTCAACTATATGATTTGGTGTACGAAGTCAAATTCAAGAAACAAGATGTTCCATTGAAGACGAGTAAGGTAAAATCATTCTTCCAGGTAAAAGGTATGGAAATGGTTATATTCTTGATGGCATTAAAAACCTAAATAGTCATATCTGTTTGGCATCCATATCTGATGATCCATGGCTGTGACATAAAAACTTGGTCATGCAAGCATGCATCTAACTGAAAAACTCTTCAAGCATGATTTAGTTATTGGCCTTCCCAAACTCATTTTTTCTAGAAATCATGTGTGTGATGCATATCATATTGATAAACAAACTAGAAACTCTTTCAAAACCAAGGACATTGTGTCTACAACCAGGCCTTTACAATTGCTTCACATGGACTTGTTCTACTAGAACTGCTAACATTGAAAATAAATGATTTGCTTTTCTTATTGTTGATGACTACTCACGTTTTACATGGGTGATTTTCTTATCTCAAAAAAATGAATCCTTGAATTTTTTTTAGATTTACTATAAAAGAATTGAAAGAGAAAAGGGGTATCTCATCACAACCATCCAAAGTGACCATGGAGGAGAATTCGAAGTAGAACCTTTGAAGAATTTTGCAACGATAAAAGATATACTCACAATTTCTCAGCCCCAAGATCACCCCTAACATAATGGAGTACTTGAGCGGAAAAATCGAACCCTACAAGATATGGCCAAAACAATGATATTAGAACATTTATTTTCAAATCATTTTTTGGCAGAAGCAGTAAGCACAACATATCATATTCTCAACAGATGTCTTATAAGACCCATTCTGAAGAAAACTCCACATGAATTATGGATAGGCAAATGACCCAATATAGGCTACTTTCATCCGTTTGGAAGTAAGTACTTCATGCACAATAATGGTAAGGATAACCTCGAAAAATTTGATCCAAAGAGTGACGAAGGTATTTTTCTCGGTTACTCTATTAATAGTAGATCTTTTAGAGTTTATAACAAATGTACTCTATCTGTAGAAGAATCAGTGCATGTTATATTTGATGAAATAATACTACGGTCGAGAAATGAATCATTGCAAGTGATGAAGATATTAGCCAAGAGGCACCACAGGCAAGCAAGTCACAAAAGTCGACTGATAGCACAGAAATAGTCACAAAGTCTCCTAGTGAACCTGCTAGTAAACAAACTAAACCACAAAAGGAGTCAACTACTCCTACAGTTGGAAAGCAACCAAATGAATGGAGAAGTGAACCAGAATATCCTCAAAAGTTTATTATAGGGGATCTTAGCGAAGGAATGAAAACCAGGGGATCTTTTAATAAAAAGGCAAATATTGCACTTATCAATCAAATCGAGCCAAAGAAAGTTGGAGCAAGCCTTAAAAGACTCCAGCTGGATACAAGCCATGCAGGATGAACTCAATAAATTCGACAAAAATCAAGTCTGCGAACTATTACCTAAGCCAACAAATGCTGCCATTGTTGGAACCAAATGGGTTTTCAGAAATAAGTTGAACGAGGATTGAAAAGTAGTTAGAAACAAAGCCAAATTAGTAGCTCAAGGCTATTCACGGCAGGAATGAGTCGACTATGATAAAATCTTTGCTCCGGTAGCATGGATAAAGTCAATACGAATTCTTCTTGTATATGCATCCTTTAAAGGCTTTAAACTTTTTCAAATGGAGTCAAAAGTGCTTTCTTAAATGGCTTTATTGATGAGGAGGTGTATGTAAAACAACCTCCTATTTTGAGAACTCACAATTTCCTTACCATGTGTATAAGTTGACTAAATCCTTATATGGACTCAAACAAGCTCTGTGAGCCTAGTACGAAAGGCTTAGTTCATTCCTACTTGATCATGGGTTTACAAGAGGCAAAGTAGATACTACATTATTTATCAAAAGATCATCTGGAGGTAATCTCATTATCCAAGTCTATATTGATGATATTATTTTTGAAAGTGCTAACTCTCTCTTATGCAAGGAATTGGCTAATCTCATGCAAAGTGAGTTCCAAATGAGCATAATGGGAGAACTCACGTTTTTCTATGGACTTCAAATTCAACAATCAGAGAAGGGAACTTTTATCTGTTTGATCAAATATACAAAGGAATTGATTCAAAAATTCAGCATGAGCAATGCTAAAGCAATTGGTATACCAATGATCCCATCAACAAGTCTTGACAAAGACGAGAAGGGAAATCCAGTGGATGAGACAAAATATCATGGAATGATTGGCTCCTTACTTTATCTAACTACTAGTCGACCGGATATCATGTTTAGTATCTGTAAATGTACCAGGTTTCAGTCAGCTCCTAAGGAATCACACATGATAGCAGTAAAGAAAATAATTTGTTATCTTATCGGAACTGTTTCTTATGGACTGTGGTACCCGCGATCTAATAATTTTAAACTTGAAGGTTTTTCAGATGCTGATCTTGCTGTGATAAAGAAGACAGAAAAAGTACCAGTGGAACATGTCAATTGCTAGGAAGGACATTAATATCCTGGAGCATCAAGAAACAAAGCTCAGTTGCATTATCTACAACTGAGCAGAGTATATTGTCATTGAAAAATATTGTGAACAATTACTTTGGATGTCTCATCAACTGAATAACTATGAATTATCCTTTAAACCTATTCAAATGTTTTGTGATAATTCTAGTGCTATATGTCTTTCAAAAAATCATGTGCATCATTCTAGAGCTAAGCATATAGGTATTAAACATTATTTTATCAGAGATCATGTCATTAAGGGAGATATAGAATTATCATCTGTTAGTATTATTGATCAACTAGCAGACATTTTTACTAAGCCCTTGCTTGAGAATAGGTTCTGCACTTTGAGAGAACTACTTGGCATTATTTCGCTTGATCTTAAAATTAGGACTTATGTATTAATTCTAATTCCTGTATGACTAATGTGTTTGTTTTCTTTTTGTAAGTACTCATTAGGTGTGCACCTCCGATTTTTCTCCCTTTTCCATTAGTCACAACTCTCAAGAAAGGAAAACTAATCATCATGTCCTTTCATTGACGCCCTTTCCTTTTCTGTACTCAATGATCGAAGCCAACCCTATACCACTATAGAATGACACGAGCAGTCGATACAGCTTTTGCCCGAAAGGTCAGGATCGAATCCACAGAGAGCTAAGATAGGTTTGGAATTGGGTTCCTATCTAACCTAGCAATGTGTGATGTTCTTGTTTGCACTTCCAAACATTCTTTGTTTGTTTACTATTCTACTTTAACACTAATGAAGAAGGAAAATAAGCTAAGTATGATATTTTTGTAAGGTTTTCTTAATTGGTCTAAAGGCACTAGGAAAATGATTTACACCTAGGTGGGTATCTAACGGGGTCTAAAACTTAGGGCAAATTTGTTATAATTAGGATCATGATATAGCCATTTCACATAACTACTCACTCTATACCTCTCGGTAGTTTGAGTGACTTTACCCTAATTGGCATTCCAATTGGGTGTTCAAATAATGCAAGCAAAATTGGCTCAAGTCGGGTATTACTATCTCTTGGTTTAGCCCTTTAATTGAGGCTATCAATCTCTTGAATGCACCCCAATTCCTTGTTGGCCTAAATTTCCTAGACTTAGTCTCTTTTTCTCAAGAAGATCCTAAGTCAAAAAGACACAAATCAGTGCTTGCAACCACCAGTTCAACATTTAAAGCATAAATCAAGTCAAATATCATTCACCCATAAAAATTTAAGCCCTAAAATTGAAGACCCATTAAATACCCACACTTGGGTTGAGCCACAACCCTAGCTAATGAGTTTAGCTACTCATAATCAAAGAAGAAATCAAAGATGGAGATGAAATATAAGCCATAAAAAGTAATTACAAGATTAAAATCTAAGATTAATTGCTAAATATATTCTAAAATTACTCAAAAAAGTAAAAAGAGGCGGTTCACATGCTCAACTAAACAACAGATGACCTAAAAATTTGAAAAAGAACTATTTATACACAACTAAATTTTTCGAACAAAAATTCCCCTACGGAGGTTCCGCTGATAGTGGAAAATGGACCGTTGCAGTGCTTTGACTACTGCTGCCGCGCAAAAGCAAGCGCAGACCGTGGTCTTCAATTTTGAGCTCCACTTTTAGTTCTCTGATTCTCACTTATGCTGAGGGCGCTAATTTGACCGTGGCCGCGCAAAAGCCACCACTGCCACGCAATTTCACCGCGGGTAACGGTAACCTGTTAAGCCCAAATTACATCTCTCTAAACCTTGCCATAAGAGCAAAATCATGACCGCCTCAGCAGTGGACCCTCTGTGTCCGTGTTTATTTCTTCATTGTCGGCATTTTTTTGACTCAGCTTTTGAACTTGTACAGGTTTCACTCCTTTTTGAGCTGGTTATGACTTCCTTGTCTTTTTTTGACCAAACACTGCAAACAAGCACAATAAGTTAGCTTTCGGGAATACTTGTACACACTTTTAATCCAAAACTTAAGCAAAAAGAAGCATAAAATAGGTTAGAATCCCTAGTTATCAACTCCCCTAAACTTAAGCTTTTGCTTGTCCTCAAGCAAACAACATAATTTTCACCTCCTCAAGATAAAAGAAAGGAAAATTCAGTTGTCCTAAAGTGACCTCATCTAACATCAATTGGGACTAACAATTACCCTAAACTCAAATGCATCATTAACAACACTCAACCTTATTAGCACCATGGCTTTAGTGCGACATAAAAACATCAAGAGTTGACTCAACTCATCAAGGAAACTCTTTCTACTTATATTGGTCGTTGTGGAATCCAAACTCATACTCCTAGACTCTCCATATGCAAACCTCACTTTTAGATTGTAGCACTCAGAACGAGGATTGTGGAAAACACTCTCATCTCTTTCAAAGGAAGGTCACAAGTCCGGCTCTAAGTACCATAAGCTTGCCCCTCATGTGAGTCACCACTAATGTAAGCTCACTCAACTCAAGATCATATAGGGCTTTTGCGGGAATGTAATGAAGGCTTTCGGTTCAGGGTAGGATATATTGGTCTATGACTGTTTCATCTTTCCTTGAGCACTTCATTTGCTTTATTTTGACTCACATTTTCTTGACTCTTTGAGTCATTTACTTCTTCCTTAGGGGCTAAAGAGAATCATTGTCACTCTTTCTTGTTCATTTCAATCCTTTTTCTCCTTTATAATCTTTCCAAGCCTTTTATCTTTTGCTTTTATTGAATTCCTTCATTTCTTCTACCTTGTTCACTTTCTTTTTGACTTTTTGGCTTTTCTTTCTTTTTCTTTTTGCCTTTTATTTTCTTTATTTTGTACCTTTTATCACTTTTGCATTCCTTGTCTCTCCCCCCAAACTTATGCTTTTTCCTTGTACTAAGGAAAGATCGGGTGCCAAGAGAGGATCATTTTTGAACGAATAAAGGCTTGTATCATGGTTATTTAAAGAATAAGGGCTATGGCTCAACGAGGTTTGTCACACCTCCTTTTTCCGCCCCCGCGAGGGTGGATAGAGGAGTTTTTTCCAATTAAAGGAC